CTTTGAAAATGAACTTATTTCTAATTTCCAGATAAGAAACAAGCTCAAGACCCAAACTCTGTATCATTTTTGTATCCCTTGCAAGCTACTTGGCCACCCCTGCCTCAGTTTCCTCACCGAAATGAGAATTATCTGCAGTGCCTACCTGAACCCACCTGCTCTCAGTGTGGATTCAGAAGCCACCCCGGGAACTTCAAGCAGGAAGGGACTGAACTCAAGGAGTTAGATGATTTTGAGATCCCTGCAAGGGCTGAAAGCATCAGCTCTAAACTGGGCCCCCGGGGATGGATAGAGACTCCCCGCTGTGTGGATAGAGACCTCACACAGCGGGGAGCTGCCGCATCTGAGCTGCCCCCGGACTAAGGAACTCCAGGGCACAGTGGTCAGGAAGCCACCACAGCCTGCAGCCACTCATCCACCCGGCGTCACCGCAGGATGCTGCTACAGCAGAGCCTCCTGCCCCATGGCAGCACTGGATGGCAGAAACCAGCCCGAGGGGAAGAAGTGTCTCTGCCAAACTTCCAATCCCTCCCACATGGTCCCCAACTCACACCCAGAACCTCACGGCAAGAGACTTTGAGAAACGCACGTGTTTCAGGCTCCGGCTGGCAGAGTGCGGGAGGCACCCGGAGGAAAGAGGTCCGGAGCATGAACAAGCCAGCCCTCACACCGGCCACCCACCCTCTCGGGCTGCTGGCAGTGAAAAAGGCGACCCCATGGAAGTCTGAGAATTGCACCGCTGAGGGCACCCGCCTGCTCATAAGCTAACTCACCCTCAAAAGGAAGCAGAGAGCACATTTCTCCCTCAGCACCGCTCATGTCACCTCCAAATAATCACAACCCAGAGCCCAGCTCAGAACAGGAACTAACATTTTGCTTGAGCGCTTTCACAGCAAGTGCTCCACAAGCCGGGACTTATTTTCTAACCCGATGGTTTCAAACTTGTTCATACAGCAGGGTCTTTTTCATACGGCAGGGCCTTTAAAAAAAAAAAAAAAAAAAAAAAAAAGTGAACTCTTATGTGAAACCCCAAACTACAAAGGCAGAACGCCAGGCCAGAAATCCAACCTGCATTCCTGGCCTGTGCCCAAAGCTTTACTGTATTATCTTGTTTGACCCTCACACCAACTCTTCACAGGAGGAACATTTAACCCATGGCGTCCTGTACCCCCGGGGATCACAGAGGTTAAGTGACTTTCTTGATGTCACATGGCAAAAACAGCAGAACTGTGGCTCAAACCTGGGTCTGAGCAGCTCGGCTCCTGACCACCACACTCATCGCCTCCATCTCTGGTTTACAACTTGATGCCAGGGTGAACCAGACATAGGCCGTGCCCCCAGGGGCCCTCAGCCAGGAAGCAGACCAGAAAAACGCATCATTACAGTTCTTCAAACACACGCACACACACACTCCCTACCTGCCCTCCCTCCCCCCACCCCAGCCTTCCGCGAGCTATTCCTTCTGCCTGGGTCTTCCCCTGACAAGCCCTTTCTTTCCATCCTAGCATCTCTCGTCAGCAAGGGTACTTGGAGCGCCTCTTCTGAGAGTTTAATAAACGGTTACACAGAAGAAGACGTGAGTGGTCAGAGCTAATCACCACCCTCCAGACCAGAGCCGATTGGCAGCCCAACCCCGGGCTGCGCAGAAGCAGCCGCTCCTGTGCCATACAAGTATGCGCTGAGCTCCTCTCGCCGCTGTGCCTGGGCTCCCACAGACACACTGATACCGACACTGGGCGCACAGATCCCTCCATCCACAGTGAGGATCCTGCTCCAACGGAAATACAGTTGTCAATTTCCTCCAAGGAAGCAACCAAATCCCAACATTTTACAACCTGCTAGCTCAGTGGTTCCTAAAGGAGGGTGATTCTGACCGCTGCCCCAGGACATTAAGCAATGTTGAAGGGCATTTTTCACTGTCAAACTGGGCCGTGACAGGCATCTAGTGGGCAGAGGCCAGGGAGGCTGCCAAACAGCCGTTAGTGCACAGAAATTCACCCACCCCAACATGCCAACAATGCCGAAGTGGGGAAATCTTGAGGCAACTTTTTCACAAGTGGACTGACCGGAGTAAGCATACTGTGGGGACAAGAACTAGAAAAGGCTTTGGAAAACGTTTAGAAATGATAATTATTTCTATTGGAATCAGAGGTGACTACTACTTAGATATTGTAAAGAAGTGTGCTAGATGCTTTACCTATTTGATCTCTAACCTTGCACAGTAGTTTTATGCTACAGAGAGGTGAAGTAACTTGCCGAAGGTCACACAGCTATGAAGTAAGAGCGCTCACATTGAACCCCAGTCGGCCTGACCCCTGAACCAGCGATTTGGACCGCGGACCTCGCCCTGCCCCACAGCGTCTGTCTGTCTTCCCCTCCAGCAGTAAGCTCCTTGAGGGCAGGGCCTATTCTAAGCCCAGAACAGAGTCTGCCCCAGGGATGCCTGTCACAGCCTGAATGAAAGGGAAAAGTGAGAGCTGGGCCTCAGCTTCCACTTGGCGGTGGCCAGGCCCAAGCCCGCCTCCCTCCTACTCGTCTGCCCCCTGTCCTCCAGGCCACCCTCCTCAAGCAACCGGAGTCACCGACAGGCCTGCTTCTAGGCCACAGGTTCCGGACCATCTCCACCCCTTCCTCCCCCTGAGCCCCTTTGTCCTAGACTAGCCTCCCACGATCCTGCCTACGCTTCCTTCCACAACCTAGAACTTGACTCAGTGAGGACAAGAGAACAGACAGGCTCTAGGGTAGAGAGTCGCTTGGGCTCAGGGGATAAAGTGAAGAAACAAGATGACTCAGGAGCCTGGGCTGGGAACCCGAAAGGAGCTGCCCTCAATAGAAACTCCCACAGCCTGCAGTCCTCTGAGTACCTACTGTGTGCCAGGCCCTCTCTGTAACTCCCTGTACATTCCCTCCACTGTCAAATGTTTAGTAGGGTCCAAACATTGTGGCCCAGAGCCCTTTCCTCTTCAAAGGAAATCTAGATTAACACTCTCCTCTAATACTTGAAGATTCTAGGACAAAACTCACTAGACATGCCCATGATTTCATATTTGATTCTTTTGTCATTAATATTCCACTAGCTTCCCACATGTACTGAATGATGGCTCATGATAATGTCTCAGCCATCAGAACAAGGATAAGGAGACAAGAAGCAAGGAAGAAAGCAAAGAGGCGACATCTGATTTTGGCGGCAAACAGCTGAAAAGGATTTTCAAGAACCAGCAGCGTTAGAAATGATCGCACAGAAGAGGCTCCGAAACAGACAGAGACAAGGCAGTCAGGAGAATCACAACAAGCAACTGAGGCTTCAAGGCTTGCTCCGTCGGCACTGCTTCACACTTGTCTGGGTCTGTACTGTTCACACTTGTCTGGGTCTGTACTGTTCACACTTGTTTGGGTCTGTGCTGTTCACACTTGTCTGGGTCTGTACTGTTTCACATGTGTGACCCACTTCTGCCCCATAACTACAAGGGTGTCGAGGATGACAAAGGTAAGAGCACACCGTACATGAAGACTGCAGCACCACGTGCTAGGCAACCACCCTCATTGTGAGCAAGGTTTCCCAAATTTGCCAAGAACCCCAAGGGATTCTGAAAGCCTATCCCCTGGGCCCTCCGCTGAGGTCCTGATTCTGAAGCTCAGGGATGGATCCTGAGGAACCTGCACAGGCACCCAGGGGGACCATAAAAGGAAACGCTGAACCCTGGCCTCAGTAAAGGGGCCAGTGCAGCCACACCAGCCTGAACTGCCACTACACCACCTAAGAACCTGCCCAACATTCCAGGTCCCTCCCCATGAGGGCAATGGCTGAGTGATGCACTCTGAGACCAGGAACGCTGCTCCTGGGAGCCCCATGCCTGTCTGCCAGCACATCAGAGAAAAGGTGCCCCCAAAACACAGAGGGCTCCTCAGGACAGGTCCTGAACTCATCTGTAAGGGCCCCCACATTCAGTTGATGAAGCAGCTGAGGCAGTGGCAGGCTGGCATGCGTGCCCACGGTCACAGACGCCTGATGCCAGTATATCACACTGTCTGGAAGGAACGCCCTGCCCTGTATGCAGTGCCCAGCATGGGTTTTGCTGGGGCCATACACATGGGGCAGCCAGTGTCAACTGCAGGAATGCTCCCACCTGCCAAGCCCTGGGCCAGGGCCCTCTGCAAAGGGCCGCTCTCCACACAGCCTCTCCACAGCCGTGCCCTCCTCACAGCACTCCCACTTGCTTGTGAGACTGACTGTTGTGCCTACTCCCACCGCTGTAATCCCACCAACAGCCATTACTGCTCACCATTCCTACCACCGCATTACTCCTGTATCACCTGCCAAGAGCGGAGCCTAGGACAGGAACACGTGCTTAATGAAAACACAAAAGCACAGAGAAGAGGCCGAAGCTGTCCCCACAAGGCTTGTGGTGAGACCCAGGGACCCAGCAGCCCTGGTTTGGTTCCTGAGTGACAGGGCACCATGGGGAGGAGGGTGCAGGGCCTAGTCCCAACACAGGTGACAGCACACATCTCAGCAGCGACAGACACCCAGAAATACCAGGCCTGGGTTATGCATACAGGGACTGGAGTTAGGAATGTGGGTTACTAACTCTGACATCAACCACATCAGCACCCTCTGGTTGGCCCGGGAGACTCAAGGTGTTAGCATAGAGGGCCCTTCAGAGAATCGGGCTGACAAAGCCTGATAATTTGGTAACACGGACCACTTGTGGGTCACCCTCAGCCGTAGCAGGTCAGGGGCGGGAAGTGACAACAGACTGCGAGAGAGCCAGGGACACAGAAGTGACAGCGAACAGCGAGGAATCAAAAAGCAGCATCTCACAGACCAGTCCAGCAACACCCCACAGGATCCTGGGCTACTGGAAAAGGCCTGCTCACCTGCCTGACACAGGGCCTGCTCAACAGGGCTTCCTGACACACACACACGTTTCAGACAAGAACAGTTCAACGGGTCTGACGGCAACAACCTCCATCCTCTGGAGAGAGAAAGATGGCATTACCTTGTAAAGAAGTTACTAAATGGTCCCAATTTTTTCAGTTTACTTCCCTCTGCAATTTCATCAGCACAGTCCTGCTGGTGTAGGTCATGGGTTTCCTTGATGGAGCTCAAGGTGACGTCAGTAAACTGCGGGTCATCGACATTCTCCAGGGTCACGATGGCACTGGAGCTGCTCGTGACCATGAGGTCCAAGATGTCCTCATTACTGACGGACAGGGTGGTGGACAGCTCGGTACCGAGACTGGACACGCTGCAGACGGACACATCATCACTGCGGTTCAGGGCTTTGGAGGTGGGGCTGTAGAGCTTCACCGAGTCATAGCCCGTCCTGGGGAACGTGGAGGACTTCTGCACACTCTGCTCCCGCTCGGCGCTGGTGGGAGCTGGTGGCGCGTAGGACGGCAGCGGGCATGCGCTCTGGCAGGCCCGCTCAGGAACTATCTCCGACTCAGACTGTTTCCTCTTCACGTGGACCACGCTGCAGGGGACGGGCTCCGGGTTGCCGATCTCTAGGGTAGGAATGCCTGAGTCCACGGACTGCAGGCTGTGCTGGTCTAGAGCCCCGAGTTTCAGCTTGGGCCCACACTCCGGCAACGAGAGGGATCTGGGCGCCTTGAGATTCAAGTGTTGCAGGTTCTGAATATGGTTTCCTGGCCGACCATCCAGAATGCCCATCAAGGCCACGCCATTTGTAGAGCTGGAAAGGTTTCCATCAGTCATCTTGGTCCAAGGAGAAACTAGAAAAAACATCAACATGGGAATTTAGGCAGTGGACGCAAAAGCCAAAGACGCCACTCCTCTGCTGCACAGCTCGAATGTCCTAGCACTCTTTAAAGGAGGGAGCCTTGGAAGAAGTCCTCCAGACCCAGCTTTTCATCAGGACCAGATGCTAGAGTGTAACATAAACGATCGGGATGTAAAATAACAGGAAGACAACACAAAGGATACGCGTAGAGCAAAAACATATAAAATGTCATCTTTGCCGTCCTCATCACCACCCACCGGTCACACACCGACCCCCAGGAGAACACGGCGGCAGCATGAGGACGGTGCCAACAGAGGCAGGGCTTTGCTTTTTCGTGTGTGTGTGTTTTTCTCGGTGATAAACGGGCTGCCTCTGTCAGAAGTGTGTGAATTCGTAACCCATATAGAAGTCAAGGTTCTACTTGTTCTGAGACAGCATAAAAATCAATTTGCTTTGGAAAACAAGAAGATAAATTGTATGTGCCACATGCAGTGAGGTTACCACAACCATGCCCACTTTTGCATGCCCTCCACAAATGTTTCAGTTAACTCACTCAGGACTTGGAGGTAAGAAACTGAGGCTCAGGGCGGTTAAGAAGCAGGCCCGAGATCACACTGCTACTTAGAGGCAGGGCTGGGATCTATGGGGCTAACCCCAAAGTAGGCCATTCCTAGTGGATGAACAGCTTAGTTTGCAGTTTGGAAAACCAGGTTGGAAGGCTGGCTCAGTGAGGTTGGGTAAACCATAAAGGAAAATAAATACCATAGCCCTACAATAAAGCCCTGAGTGGGAAGAGTCAAAGCTGCAGTGGTACACACATCCAGGACCCTGCCGACTTAAGTTCTCTGCTTAAGTCGGGGGTGGGGAGAGGGGCTGAGAGATGCACCAGCCTGGACAGCACAGCCCCAGAGGTTGGATGACCCTGGCATATGTTCTGTCACCTTCTACTGTCCTTTAAAATTTCAAAACTAAAGAGACCCTGGTGCTGCATTTTAATCTGACCTATGGCCCGGCTGGTGTGGTGGAGCATTGAGCTATGAACCAGGAGGTCACAGTTTGATTCTTGGTCAGGGCACATGCCTGGGTGGTGGGCTTGATCCCCAGTAGGGGGCGTGCAGGAGGCAGTCTATCAATGATTCATCGTTGATGTTTCTATCTCTCTCTTCCTCTCCTTTCCTCTCTGAAATTGATATATTTTTTATAAAAATAAATCTGAGCTATGGAGCAGAACAACCCAGAGAACGGGACTCTGGGTTCTACTCCCTTCCTGTCTTGGGAGAAGGAAACAAAGCACCAGGAGAACAGCACTCACTAGGCCCCCGGCCCCGGCGGGCACAAACAGCGCTAGCGGAAGGTTCTAGACGCCAGAGTGGCAGGAGCACTCCGTGCTCCCGAAACAGAGCCTTCCTGATACCCCCCACCCCCCAGAAAGAAAGAGTAGTTATCATTGTTCTGCCGGCTCCAGAACCTTCCGCTAGCGCTGTTTGTGCCCGCCGGGGCCGGGGGCCTAGTGAGTGCTGTTCTCCTGGTGCTTTGTTTCCTTCTCCCAAGACAGGAAGGGAGTAGAACCCAGAGTCCCGTTCTCTGGGTTGTTCTGCTCCATAGCTCAGATTTATTTTTATAAAAAATATATCAATTTCAGAGAGGAAAGGAGAGGAAGAGAGAGATAGAAACATCAACGATGAATCATTGATAGACTGCCTCCTGCACGCCCCCTACTGGGGATCAAGCCCACCACCCAGGCATGTGCCCTGACCAAGAATCAAACTGTGCTCCCGAAACAGAGCCTTCCTGATACCTCCCACCCCCCAGAAGCCTGGCCCTCCTCTCAATGTCAACACAGCAAAAGCAAAGTCATTAAGAGCAGAAAAGGGAGGAGAGCTTATTCTCCCTGCCAGAGATGGAAGAAACCAGTCAGTACGGCTCTGGAGCAAAGAGTAGAAATATGAAGGAATGAATCAAGACGCAGAATTCAGAAACAGACTGCACTACACACAAGAAACTGACCTGTGACCCAGGGAGGACGGAGGAAGATCTAACCATGATGTTATGCTAACTGGCTAGCAACTTCTCCTGGAAGCCAGAACCACACTCTGCTACAGACAAAATTAGAGTTTAACACAAAAATGAAATTATAAAAATGTTGCACAAAGTAAAGTGTTCTCCAGCCTACAGAGCAAAAACTCAGTTCATCTTCTGAAAGGGCTGAGCACCCCGGCCCACCTGTGAGCACATTCCAAATGCACTGCGGCTCACCGCCAGCTTTCCTGGGCTGGAGCCACTCCCGGGCAAGGCCACAGCAAGCCGCCTCCGAGACTGCTCTGGGGAAACACTGAAATAAGACCGGCACTCACAGAGGGAGTCCAGCATACACAAACCTGAAAGTTCTTTTCTTTTTAATTAAAGGAAAATATGGTAAGGAAATACTTAGCGCATCGTTAAGAGCCAGTCTTTGGAGATGTCAAAGTTAATTAGAATTATCAAAACACCATCAACACTCCCACAGTCAAGCTGGGGGGAAACTGAAAAGCAGACCCCAACAGGAAGCCCTCAGGGGAGCAGAGGTCTGCCCCTTAGCAGCAACCTCAGGGGCATGCTCAACCTTTCTGAGCCTCAACTTCCCTCCTCCCCAGCAGGAGAATGGGGCAATACCACAGGGGTTCCAGGGAGACCTGAGGATAAATGGCAGAGGTTTGGTGAAAGCACCAGCACACCACACGCTGCCTCTGACACACAGTAGGTACCCCATAAACGAGACTTTGTTCTCCTTTAGCCACACTGAGGGCTCCGGTCCCTGCCAGAACATGGCCTGAAATGCTGACGCCAGAGTGGCAGGAGCACTCCGTGCTCCGTCTCCCTCGGCTGTGGGGCCGAGGACAGCAGCCGAGGGCCTCTTTTGAGGGAGACGCTGAGCCACCTTGGAGGCCTCCGCTGGTTAAACCTCAGGAACAGGGTGTTAGCCTTCGGGGAAACCTAAAAGGAAAGAAGAACTTCCGCTTGCAACACACTCTAAAACCAAAATCTGCAAGGGCCAAGGCCGCCTGTCCTCACCCCTGCCACCTGGTGCCACCGGTGCCAGAGCGCCAAAGCCGCCCTCCAGAGCACCTGCCTGGCGCTCCGAAAGTGTGCTTCCGAGGCAGGCTGCGGGGGCACTGCGGGAGCCCGCCGGAGGCCAGCTGCCGGTGGCCCGCCTCCAAGTCACAAGCTCCCTAAAGACAGACTAAGCCTCAATTCCCTGCGCTGGCACAGGGCCCGCCGGGTCCGCCTGCCAGCCTCCCCAGCCTCCACTGCCACCCTCAGTTCTCTACACCCAGGTCCCCTCTGCCTTTAGTGCCCGGGGAGCTGGTAACAGGTGCCACCAGGAGACACACCGGAACATTCCAAGGCCACCTCCTCTGAGGAGCCGTCCGCACTCTGCCAGGAAGCCGCAGCCCTCCCCCTCCCAGCCCCTTGGGCCACACTCCTCCTGAAACCACTGGGTCTGCAGCTGCCCCATGTCTGCTCGCACAGGCCTCTGAGCGCCAGGCAGGCCCGCACTCCGCCTCTGGACACACCGCCTGGCCACAGCCTGGCATGGACTCTGCTGAATTAATTAGCGCTACCAGCTGTGCTCTCAGAGGGCAGGTTTCAGGAACAGTCCACCCAAGAAACATCTGCTGAGAGCTGGGTTATGTCCCAAAACAAGGTCAGCAGAGACGGTAACAAGAGGAGAGAAAGTCCGTCCCCTGGAGCTCCTGGCATGTGAGCGGACCACACACAGCAGGGAAGCGTGACCACCCTGAGCACCATGGCTGCTGCCAGACTAGCCGGCCAGGAGCCGGTCAGCAGGCGATGGTGGTGGGAAGTACAGCACAACTCCTCCCTCCACAGGTGTTTCCCCAGGTCCAAGCCGCTGTGGCCACCACAGCGGTGCGACCCCAGGCTCTCGGTGTCTGGGCACAGCCGGCACCAGCCATGGGAGCGCGGGAGACGTGTCATGACTAGCCCTCACCTCCCAGACGAGAGGAAGCACACCAGACGTCAAGGGTACGAGGGGGATTAAATTCAGGCAGCAAGCCTGTCTGCCCCAAACTGAGTTCTGAGGTCGCAAATAAGATCAGCGCCTGAGAGCCTGGAACACCCTCACTCCATGGGCCGTGTCTCAGGTTTAATACAAGTCAGAAAGCAGGCAGTGGCTGCCCTAGCCGGTGTGGCTCAATGACTAGAGTGTCGGCCAGCAGACTCAAGGGTCCCAGGTTCGATTCCAGTCAAGGGCATGTACCTTAGTTGTGGACACATACCCAGTGGGGCATGTGCAGGAGGCAGCTGATCGATGCTTCTCTCTCATCGATGTTTCTAACTCTCTATCCCTCTCCCTTCCTCTCTGTAAAAAGTCAATAAAATACATTTCTTTAAAAAGAAAGAAAGAAGGCAAGCAAGCGGGCAGCGGCTCTGCCAGTGATTGCAGGAAAGGCTTTCGAAACAGTCCATCTTGAATCAACAGTTTAATTTTCTTCGCCTTGAAGACCAACAGGACTGTCTTGGCTACCTCTTCATAAATAAAAGGAAGAGCTCATGAAGCTAAAACCAAATGACTTGTTTGTGCCCTCGGGAGGGGGTGCCCTCGTGGGTGGCTCTGAGGAGGAGAAGCAACGCTGCCCACCCATGCAGATCTCCTCCCTGTCCAGGCTCCTGGCTTGGTCCAGAGGAGAGCCCCTGCTCAGCATGGGGACACTGCTGCCCTCCGAGGAGACTGCGCACTCACCTTCGCCGCCCACCTCCCATCACCCAGCTCCGCCACTGCCCCTACTTTACTCTTCCGATCTGTGCGGCATCTGGGGGGGGGGGGGCAGCTCCACAGAGGGCTGCACCAGCCCAGCCCCCATCGCTCTCCTGCTCGCTCAGGCCCTGGCTCGGGCAGGCAGGTTCCGGGAAGAAAGGCACAGGGTGTTCCAGGTCTCAGGTACCTCAGCATTAACAATTAACAATTAACAAGAGAGCCGCCTCTGCTTA